CACAAGACGCAGTGTACACAAGGTGCAGCGTACACAAGACACAGTGTACACAAGGTGCAATGTACACAAGGTGCAGTGTACACACGGTGCAGCGTACAGACGGTGCAGCGTACACAAGGTGCAATGTACACAAGGTGCAGTGTACACAAGGTGCAGTGTACACACGGTGCAGTGTACACAAGGTGCAATGTACACAAGGTGCAGTGTACACACGGTGCAGCGTACACACGGTGCAGTGTACACAAGGTGCAATGTACACAAGGTGCAGCGTACACAAGGTGCAGCGTACACAAGGTGCAATGTACACAAGGTGCAGTGTACACAAGGTGCAGCGTACACACGGTGCAATGTACACAAGGTGCAGTGTACACAAGGTGCAGTGTACACAAGGTGCAATGTACACAAGGTGCAATGTACACAAGGTGCAGTGTACACACGGTGCAGCGTACACACGGTGCAATGTACACAAGGTGCAGTGTACACAAGGTGCAGTGTACACAAGGTGCAATGTACACACGGTGCAGCGTACACACGGTGCAGCGTACACAAGGTGCAATGTACACAATGTGCAGCGTACACAAGGTGCAGCGTACACAAGGTGCAATGTACACAAGGTGCAATGTACACAAGGTGCAGTGTACACAAGGTGCAGTGTACACAAGGTGCAGCGTACACACGGTGCAGCGTGCACAAGGTGCAATGTACACAAGGTGCAGCGTACACAAGGTGCAGCGTACACAAGGTGCAATGTACACAAGGTGCAATGTACACAAGGTGCAGCGTACACACGGTGCAGTGTACACAAGGTGCAGCATACACAAGGTGCAATGTACACAAGGTGCAATGTACACAAGGTGCAATGTACACAAGGTGCAGCGTACACACGGTGCAGTGTACACAAGGTGCAGTGTACACAAGGTGCAGCGTACACGTCGCACAGCGTACACGGTGCACAGCGACGCCTCCCTTATTGATTCTCAGCGCACGATGTGGAACCACGCAAACGGACGAGGGGGGAGCTGGGGGGGCGGGGCGCGGGGGGGCGCCGGGGGGAGGGGCTGGGGGGGCTTCCATTGAGTGTTGTTTCCACATTCAGGGTGCATGCCCTTGATCCAGCGGTGGAAATTCCACGTTCTCATGGCGGGGGCAGGAGAGGGATGACTCTCTCAACAGAGGGCGACCGCCGCGTTGATCAACGAGGGCGACCGCCGTTGCATCGATGCTGGACTGGGGATGATGGCCGCTGGAGAATGGAGGTGGCTTCTGACATGGTGGTTATCGTTTTGATGAAGGAAAGCTGCGATTGATAAAGATTAACCGGGCGTGAAGAAATTATGATGGCGATAATTAAACATCACGGATGACGACGATGGATAATTGATTTTAACGAAGGACAATTCTGATGTATGACGGTGCTCGTTTGGCCGTGGCGATGAAGACAACCAAGGCGATGGTGGCGCGAAGACAACGAGTGTGGGGCACGCGTTAACCCCGTCGGATTTGACCTCTGCATGCGCTGTACGTTTAACTTCTTTCGCGCCGTACGTAGCCAAACGCGCTAATCGGAGGTGCGATGCGAACGGCGCAAGGTTACTGGGGCCAGGTGATGGGACAGACCCCCCCCCCCCCCTCGCCATTTTGCCCCTCCGCGGAAGCGGCGCCGAGCACGGGAATGGGAAGCATTCGGGAACAGTTGGTGGTGCCGGACAAAGATCTCCAACCCCCCCCCGGCTCCCGTGTCGCCTTAACAGACTGTCGGGGCAAGTGCCGTCAGCGGGCACCTATGAAGGCCGACACGGCACACGACGGGGTGGGTGGCCAGCAAAACGCCCGACCACCTTTGTTTCCCCAGTGACGATGTTTACACGCCGCACCAGATACTCATTTAAAACCAAGTCGACCTAGGGAAGGCCTAGGACCTGTTCAGATAATCGTCAATGGTGAGTGGGAATCTGACTCAGGTCGCTGGGTTCGTAGCGCAGCGCGCTAACCACGACACTACCGCTCCAATACCAATACCCACCATTCACCGCTAAGTGACGGTGACGTCACCACGGCACCCGTGCCAGGCCAGGTGCACTTTGAGGCCACGTGAAGTGTCAAAGGCTCGCTGACAGGAGGTCACAGGACAGACCCAGCAGGTGCCACAGGTCGACTGACCGAGACGACCGGGAGATGCACCAGCGTCACTCCTCCACCCTCCATTGTTGCTGGAGTACGACTGCCTCCAACTGCCCAGCAGCAGCAGCGTCCTTCACGAGCCTCCTCCAGAGGCCGATCTTGACACTGCTGGTACCAGTCTTCAGCAAGTCCACTCAGCTCCACATCCTCCCGTACCGCATCTCTTCTCCAGCCCATGTCGTGCATGTTTTGCCCCCTGCCTGCAAGAGGAGCTCACTAATGGGGATGTCTCCAGAACTTTCAAAGGATTTGTGAGCTCCTCACACAATCCAGCCTGGTTAAATCCAGGATGGCAGGCCAGCCTTAATGTTTCTAACTGGCGAAGATGTTCCATTAGGGGGGTCCACGTTTCGCAAACATAGAGAAGGGAGGGCATGATCGTGGCCGAGAAGACCCGAAGCTTCGTGTGGAGCGACAGACCAAGTAGCTTCCACACAGCAGTGTTACGCAGCCGATGAAAAGATGATGCCGCTCGACTAATTCAGAGTGAGACCTCTGCTATAAAACCGGAGATGGTCATAAGCACACCGCGCAAGTATGGAAAATTCTCCACAACTGCTCCATCACCAATGGGGAGTTGAAGCGGTGGAATGTTTGATGGGACAAAATACCCATTTCCCCACACTTCCACACAAACAAACATAAACAATGCCAAATATTCCCCATATAGCCTTAAGAGACTGTAGGGGCAAGTGCTATTAGCGAGCACCTATGAAGGCCGGCACGGTACAAGAGGGGTGGGGTGGCCAGCACCACACCCTTTGTCTCCCCACGATGTTTACAACACACCGCACCAGTCGACCGAGGGGAGGTCCAGGACCTGTTGAGGTAATCGCCACTGGTGTTAGCCGTGAGCGGGAATAAAATCCGTGTTGCCGAGTTCGTCAGCTCAATGATGACCACGCGTGTGATCGTGTGGGGGGGAGGGGGGCGGCACAGCCCTCCCCAATGCTGGTGATTAAGTGACAAGTGCGGGCACGGCGTCGCGTGGTCCACTCAGCTATTTTCTCCGCCGCCTTCACCAACCGACACAGACCGGCATGGTGAAGTAAGATCAGAGCAACGCTCCGATCAGTGTGGCCGCGTTTTCTCGATGGCGAGCGCCGAAGAGGACAGGAAACGAACTAATCGAGTTCCCTTCGTATTGAGTCCCGACCGTGACCTCACTTCCTCTCCCGCTCCGCTACAAACGGACGGAGACAGACGGAGCTGACGCATCGACCGTTTTGACGCTCGCTCGACGCTGTGCACGGAAACTCACAACCGCAGAACGAGGATGCCGTCTCATTCATCATTTACGACAACAGCAGCAGCAGCAACAACAACAACAGCAGCAGCAGCAACAACAGCAGCAGCAGCAGCAGCAACAACAGCAGCAACAACAACAGCAGCAACAACAACAGCAGCAACAACAACAGCAGCAGCAACAACAGCAGCAACAACAACAGCAGCAACAACAACAGCAGCAAAGCAGCAGCAACAACAGCAGCAACAACAACAGCAGCAACAACAACAACAATAGCAGCAACAACAACAGCAGCAACAACAACAGCAGCAACAACAACAGCAGCAACAACAACAGCAGCAGCAACAACAACAACAGCAGCAGCAACAACAACAACAGCAGCAGCAGCAGCAACAACAACAACAGCAGCAGCAAAAGCAGCAGCAGCAACAACAGCAGCAGCCGCCCCCAATTGCCCCTAAGTGGCGGTGAGGTCACCGCGGGGCTCACGCCAGGCTCGGTGAGCTGCTTTGAGACCACGTGAAGTGTCGCTGCTGCTGGTAGGAAAGAGGTCATGGGAAAAAACCCCCCTCCCTCCTCCGCCCGCAGGTATCATAGGAAGATGACTGGCAGCTTTGTTATGTACACACACACTCTCTGTATGGAGTTAGTCTGTATGGGAGTTAGTCTGTGTGGGAGTTGGTCTGCGTGGGAGTTGGTCTGCGTGGAAGTTAGTCTGAGTGGGAGTTGGTCTGTGTGGGAGTTAGTCTGTGTGGGAGTTGGTCTGAGTGGGAGTTAGTCTGCGTGGGAGTTAGTCTGCGTGGGAGTTAGTCTGCGTGGGAGTTAGTCTGCGTGGGAGTTAGTCTGCGTGGGAGTTAGTCTGCGTGGGAGTTAGTCTGCGTGGGAGTTAGTCTGCGTGGGAGTTAGTCTGCGTGGGAGTTAGTCTGCGTGGGAGTTAGTCTGCGTGGGAGTTAGTCTGCGTGGGAGTTAGTCTGCGTGGGAGTTAGTCTGCGTGGGAGTTAGTCTGCGTGGGAGTTGGTCTGCGTGGGAGTTGGTCTGCGTGGGAGTTGGTCTGCGTGGGAGTTGGTCTGCGTGGGAGTTGGTCTGTGTGGGAGTTGGTCTGTGTGGGAGTTAGTCTGTGTGGGGAGCGGTGGAGGCAGTGGTTAGTGGGTTGCGTGCGAGCTCAAGGCCACCAACACCGGTGACGATTATCTGAACCCGTCCTGAGCCTCGCCTAGGTCGACTCAGCCTCAAATGAGTACCTGGTGCGGTGTGTAGTAAACATCGCCACTCGGGAGACAAAGGCGGCCGGGGATGGTGCTTGCCACCCACCACCTCGTGTGGCGTGCCGGCCTTCACAGGTGCTACTCGCTAACAGCACTTGCCCCAACAGTGTGTTGAGGCTATACGGGGGATCTTTGTCCTTGTGAGTGTGTTAGTGTATTAGTGTGAGTGTGTGTGAGTGCGTGAGAGTGTGTTAGTGTATGTCAGTGTGCGAGTGTGCTATTGTTTATGTGTGTTAGTATGTGTGTCTAAATGTGTGTGAAAGTATGTTAGTGTGTGTGTGCGAGTGAGCGTGTGCGTGGGTACATACTGTCCTCTCCTGGACACGGCATTCCTGGTCTCTCTGGGATTGTTGGGAATACTGCACACACACACACACGGCATGCAAATCAGACGAATAAATTAATAAACAGTAGAACTGGTCGTCCTCTTATCGCGCAAAGCTATCACGAACACGCCGCTGTTTCACAGGTGGCTAGTCTGTCAGTCGAGGGCGACGTTGCTCCGCGGGTACTTCCACGATTAAAGCAACTTGCGGTTGGTCATCTTCCCACACAACTTGACGAAAAGTGGACCCAGGACACGCGGGCACGCGACCCCCACTCCCGGCCCGCGACCCCCACTCCCGGCACCCGCCCCCCCTCCCCTCCCGACAACGGCGCGGGGATCTTGAGCCGCCACCACGCCGCCTGGTGCAGCGGGGAGGAGCGCCGGGAGGCGCTTCCCCCGTCACGCCCGCAGCGTCTAACTGGGGGGCAGCCGCCATGGCTCGAAGCGCGCCAACCTCTGCAGCAAAGAGGCAGAAACGCGCTCCCCCAGGCGTGCAACGTCACCACCCTGATAGCGGGAGGCGGGGGGGGGGCCCTTACCATGAACGAAGGGGGGGGACAGGGTGGGCCCAGTAGTGGCAGGGGGGAGGGGGGAAGGCCCATACCGTGGATGATGAGCTCCGAGTCCTTGTTGATCTCGTAGAGACGGAAAGCTTCCTCCAGCTCTATCTGCGACGAGATGGTGCAGGGGTCGCCTGTCCACACATGGGGGGGGGGGGGGGGGTCACGTGGGTCACATGGGATCACGGGGGGGGGTTACCAATCGGGGGTCAGCGTGTACGCCAGGGCAGGTTTTCACACAGCTGTGCTGCTCCTTCTGCTGCGCTTTTGGAATCGTTCAGCACGAAGTCAGACGTTTTCAATCCCTGAGCTGGGACCATCTTCAGGAACCAATTTGAAATGGGGCCCCCCTACCTCACCCCCCCGTCGCCAAGGATGGTGCTAAAACGTCTGACACCGTTTCCAAAGAACGCACATCGCGATCCGAAAAACGCAGTGGTTGCGAATATTTTAACCAGTCGAGAGGGCCTCCCCAAGGTCCACTCAGCCTTAACCGACTACCTGGTGCGAAGTATAAACCATCATCACTGGGGAGACAAAGGCGGCCGAGCGTGGTGTGCCGTGAGAACTTGCCAGGTGCTCACTAACACCCCCAACAGGCCAATGGAGGCTGTACGGGAGATCTTGGGTCTTTGCTTAAACGAGCACAGGCAAGCGCATTCACATTCTGCGGCTGTCTTGATGCCAAAAGTGGAAGTTCCACATTCCTATGGCGGGGTGAGGGGAGTCAGACAAAGAACCACCGCTTGTGGCCTTCAAACTCGGCTGAGTTGTACGACGAGGAGGCGGCGATGATTGGCTGGAAGAATACGGTTGTTGTGGGCTAGGTGGGCCGACGAGTGAGGAGGGAGGGAGGGAGGGAGGGAGGGGGGGGCAGGAGGGACGGGGGGTGGGAGGGAGGGAGGGAGGGAGGGAGGGAGGAGGGACGGGGGGTGGGAGGGAGAATGGGAGGGAGGGGACTGAGGAGGGATGGTGAGAAGGTAGGGTGGGGGAATGGAGGGAGGAGGGGGCGAGGATGGGAGGCAGGTTGCTGAGGCAGGTTGCTGAGGAAGGAGGGTGGGGAGGGAGGGTGGGGAGGAAGGGTGAGGAGGGAGGGAGGGTGAGGAGGGAGGGTGGGTGGGGAGGGTGGGGAGGGAGGGTGAGGAGGGAGGGAGGGTGGGGAGGGAGGGTGAGGAGGGAGGGTGGGGAGGGTGAGGAGGGAGGGTGGGGAGGGAGGGTGGGGAGGGAGGGTGAGGAGGGAGGGTGGGGAGGGAGGGTGAGGAGGGAGGGTAGGGAAGGAGGGTGGGGAGGCAGGGTGGAGAGGGAGGGAGGGTGGGGAGGGAGGGTGGGGAGGGAGGGAGGGTGGGGAGGGAGGGAGGGAGGGTGGGGGAGGGTGGGGGAGGGAGGGTGGGAGAGGAAGGGAGGGAGTAGATGGCGAATGAGTCAATCTTGGTTGGCGAAGAGATGGTGGAAGAAGAGGAAGGGGCATTTTAAGATTACTAAAAATGACTCAATTGGGGTTCCACACGGCAGCGATGGTCTCCCCCTACCAGGAGACTAAAGCTCGCTGGCGGGCCGCTGCCGAGTCACTTTGTGCCACACGTGGAAAGCTGCCACTGGGGGTGCCCTTTAAAATGCGTTGAGGTGAGATTGTGACGCACAATGCTTTGGGACGCCCCTGGCATCCGGGAGGGCGGCTCTCTCAAAAACTAATCGGCATCATCATTATCATCATCGTCGTCATCATCGTCGTCGTCATCATCTTCATCATTGTCGTCATCATCATCATCGTCGTCGTCATCATCATCGTCATCATCATCGTCGTCATCATCATCATCGTCATCATCATCATCGTCATCATCATCATCGTCATCATCGTCATCATCGTCGTCCTCGGCATCATCGTCGTCATCATCGTCGTCCTCGGCATCATCGTCATTATCGTCGTCGTCATCATGATCTTCATCATCATCATCATCGTCGTCATCGTCGTCCTCGGCATCATCGTCATCATCATCGTCGTCCTCGGCATCATCGTCATTATCGTCGTCGTCGTCATCATGATCTTCATCATCTTCATCATCGTCGTCATCGGCCTCATGTGGGTCCCTCACCCTCCTCGTCGATCCACTTCATCGTGAAGAGCTGCTCGCTGTCGAAGGAGCACATCTCCCGCACGTCGCCGCACAGGCCCGGGAAGCTCGTGCCGGGCCGCACGTGCGTGATCAGCACGTCCCTGGGGCGCGTGGACACAGACACACAGAGGCACAAGGAGTTATACACAGAGGAACGCAGAGACACACCACACAGGAGACGAAGATGAGCGACAGACAGTCACACGATGAAGACGCAGTCGCGCGACGGAGACGCAAATGTGCAACAGACGTAGACGGGCGACGGAGGGATGCAGGGCTAAAATTGAGAAAATCAGTGGCACCAGATCCCCGCATGTGCTTATGACACGCCCATGATACAGCGCGAAAGTCGCTTCAGGCTTCAGGCATGGGGGAGGCTGTGACTGTGAGGATTTGTGGCGTTCAAAGTCCAAAGAGTTAAAGTGTCTCCCCGCTCAAACGAACATTGGGCAATGCCGATTCCCATTGGCTTCTCTTGGCCGGGAGGGCAATTCCACATTCCTATGGTGGGTGGGAGATATTCTCCCCAAGGCCTACAACCAACTGCTGAATGCCCCACAAGGAAGTACTCACGTTTAACGACAGAAGGATGTTGCCTCTGCTGATAACGAAACGTCGGCTACTGCTGCTACTACCGATGATGATGTTGTTTGTGTTGGTAATGAAAGAGCTCCGGCTGCTGCTGCAGGTGATGATAATCATGCTGCTGTTGCTGATGATACTGCTGCTCACAATAGCAATACTGCTGATAATAAGAACAAGTTGCTGCTGATTAAGATGCTGTTGCCGATGGTGCTTCTGCTGATGATGTAACAGCTTCCTCTGCAGATGATGCTGGTGCTGCCTGCTATAGAGGAGTGCTGCTGCTGATGATGGACTGAATCGTTCTGCCACTTTGATCCACTCATGGCACGAACTACAAATGGGCCAACCACAATCCCCCGCCCCCCGTGTAGCCTTTCCAATAGGCCGTTGTTGAGGCAAGAATTGCTGTCAGCGAGCGCCTGTTCAGGCCTGCGAATCGTACAAGGGAGATGGGTACAGACAGCACGAGATCAGGACCACCTTTGTCTCCCCAGAACTGTTGTTCCACACGCTTCAGCGGGTACTCATTGAAAAGTCGAGTCGATGTAGGGGGCAGAGAGGTCCAGGCCCAGTTGGGACGTCACTTGCCGCTGATGTTGGCCGTGGCCGGGAAGTGGAGCCACGTCGCCAGGTTCGTAGCAAAGTGCGCTAACCGCTCCGCCACCACTCCCCCGCCGCACGCACACAAAGATCGCCCAAATAGCCTTGAACAGATTGCGAGTGCAAGTGCTGTTAGCGAGCACATATTAAGGGTGTACTCGCACGTACACACAAAGTCACAAGCACAGACACACGACACAAAGTCACAAGCACAGACACACACCACAACCACACTGGAACTCGCATGGACATGCGTGCGTTACACAACGCATCCCACAGGCAGGGAACCAGGTTTCACAGCCGGTCGGTCTAGAACAGACAGTACCATCCTCACCCGAACCCAGACCCCCCGCCCCCTCCCAGATCCCCTCCCAGAGCCCCTCCCAGACCCCCTCCCAGACCCCCGCCCCCTCCCAGACCCCCGCGTGCATTCTCATGATTCGGGATGCGATTCTCTCGCTCCCCGCTTGCACCGCGCATCTCTGTGGGCACGCTCTCCGCTGCGCTCTCCATCACGCGCGCCCTGTCGCTCGCGTTAAAGCTGCCTCCGTCTGCAGTGCGCCGTCTCATTCCTACTGCCCGACTCGTTTGTATTGTCTGTACAGTGTGCATGGTGCAGAGTGTGCGTGAGTAGTGTGCGGTGGTCAGGGCTAGGGTTGGATTTAGAGCAAGGGTGACAGCCATGGTTTAGCCTCGTAGGGTAGCCAAGCCAGGGTTAAGGCTAGGGCAAGAGGCCGTATCCTGACCAATTTCACTGAGAAGGTACCACTGACCAGTCCCCACTGACCAGTCCCCACTGACCAGTCCCCACTGACCTGTCCCCCCACTGACCAGTCCCCACTGACCAGTCCCCACTGACCAGCCCCCCCACTAACCAGCCCCCCCACTGACCAGCCCCCCCACTGACCAGTCCCCACTGACCAGTCCCCACTGACCAGTCCCCACTGACCAGTCCCCACTGACCAGTCCCCACTGAGCAGGCCGACTGACCGGTCCCCACTCAGCAGGCCTGCTCAGTGCAGGAGTGACCGCTGGCCGGCAGGCTGTGTGCGGAATCTCGCGCGTGCAGTGGGGGGTCGTACGCAGGTCACGCATTCCAGCCTCCAGCGGGGGGGGGGGGGGCGCAGTCGTAAGCGTCGTCTATAGCGACGGCGACTCCTCCTCGAACCCACACACCTCCTCCTCCTCACCAGCAGCAAAGAACTCCTCCCCCGCCCGCTCACGCGCTCACTCATCAGCTCGCACAGCAGCCTGACCACTCATGAGCTCGCCCACTTACAGAGCCGCCCCCACTCGCTCGTGTTCAGCCGCTCGCTGACTCATCATCCCGTTCACTCGCTCGTGTTCACCCGCTCGCTTACTCATCATCCTCATCCACCGACTTACCCCACGAGCCCGCCCATTCCTCGAGCTGCTCACCCATTAACCCAAAGCGCCCACGAATAGCCTTAACAGACTATTGGGGCAAGTGCTGTAAGCGAGCACCTATGAAGGCTGGCACAGTACAGAAGGGGGGTGTGGGGTGGCCAAAACCACGCCCGACCACCTTTGTCTCCCTAGTGGCGATGTTTACACACCGCAACAAGTACTCATTTGAGGCTGAGTCGACCTAGGGGAGGTCCAAGACCGGTTTAGACAATCGTGATTGGTGTTGGCTGAGAGCGGGAATCGAACTCAGGTAGCCAGGTTCGTAGCGCAGCGCGCTAACCGCTACAGCACCGCTCCCCATTAACCAACCCACTCACCGACCATCCCATCCACTCATCCATTCACCCACACGCCCTCCTATTCACCAACCCACGCAGCCATTCATCCACCCACTCACCAACCCACGAGCCCACCAAGCCACTCAATAATCGACTCGCTTCCCCATTCGCATACACAGTCACTCACCTTCCCACTCATAAACACACGCACACAAAGAAACCCCGTAGAGACTGTTTAGGTAAGTGTTGCTATCGAGCGTCAAGTTGTGATGGACAAGGGCGATGTGGCCGGGGCGCATGGCGCCAGGGATTCATCAGGAGCTGAGTCGAGATCGGGGAGGACCGCCACTTAGCGCAGGTAACACTCGTCAAGGTAACACTCGTCAGCTATCAATGACCAAGAAACGAACCTAGGTCGGTTGAATAAAGGGGCAGTGTGCAAACCACTCTGCCACGAATACCAACACAACCACCATTCGCCACTAACTGATGGTGACGTCACCACGGCGCCTGTGCCAGGCTATGTGCCAGGCTATACCTAATAAATTAACTTGAGGTGCACTTTGAGGCCACGTGAAGTGTCGAAGGCTCGCTGACAGGACCCAAGTACCATGGGTTGGCTGAATGAGATGACCGGTAGATGCACAAACTGTACCCCCTACTATGCCAACTTGCTGGATTTTAGCTGCCCGGCGCACCGCTCGTTGTTGTGAGCGTCGCTCATCTGTCCTCCGTTGTTGCTGGAGGGCGACTGCCTCCAACTGCTCAATAGCAGCGTCCTTCACGAGCCTCCTCCATAGAGGTCAATCTTGAAGTGTCCAAGGCTCGCATTACCACCACTCTCACACACAATGATGTGCCCACCTGCCTGCTCACTCATCTACCAACTCACTCACTCATAAACCCATCCACAACTACATTCTCGTGCCCTTACTCACACTCCCACTCATCCACAAACTCACACACCAACTGGCCCATCCAACAAACGTCTGACTGCCCAATCTCCTACAAACTCACACGACCAACCAGATACTCGCCCGCTCTCTCACAAACAGAATCAGAATATTTATTTATACTGGAGGAATCCGATGAGTTATCAAGCTCTTTGTGGACAGATGGGTAAGAACGTTACAACAACACTTGAAATCAGGAAATTAGAGTCGGTAGATATATTTAAGTCTGCTTTGAAACCCCATCTCTTTTTTATTACACACTTTTTTAATTAACTCACTCTGTCTGTTGTTGCTGTATCCTCAAATCTTGTAACTCAATTTTAACCCACTTCCCAATGTGGTATGGACTGCAAACTCGGTATACTTATGTCATACTGATGACAATACTATATTCTATTAAAAAATATTTTTAAACATTATTTTTTTATATGTTATGTTTGAGCTTGGGTCTAATTGTCCACGCTCAACTGACATTGGCTGTAAATCACCACGGCCCCTTACGTTATGGCAAGCTTTATGGCCACTTCCTGGAGTCGTGGAGTTCTTCGATTACTAGTACGGTACATTTCATTAAAGCGTGTTTTTAAAAAGGTATTTTGAAATATTACTTAAAGTGGCCTTCCCTCTCTCGTTTGGTCAGATGCCCGTGGGTTCTGTTTTTGTTTCCTTCTGTTCATGCATTGCGCATTGGCATCCTAGGGTGGAATGCGCATTGTACATTAGAATTATTATCAACAAACAATAGAAAAACACGATAGGATTGCTTGCAACACAAGCAATCATCAATTTATTTTATACCTACGTGACTTTACCGAAATAACCAAAGAGTATGGATCCTTGCAGTCACCACAACTTCAAATTTAGATTGACATACAAATAAAACGAAACCATTCCTATCCCACCAGGCAAAGCCCACTGACGTATCAACTCACCCACCAACTGCACTCACTCATTCACTCCCCGACAAACTCATACACCCACCCACCTTCCCACCAACTCACCCACCCACCCCACTAACTCTCCCATCGACCTTCCTCTTCACTCACCCACTCACCTACTCACCCCACTTGCTGCTCACACACACACCACAGAAACAGCGGCGGCTAAACTAGATTTCCAATGAGCTCTTACGCACACTTCCACTCTCAACTCCCATTGGCAACTGGGGGGGGGGGGGGGCTGTTTCGTGCTGTTGACGATGTTTTCGCTGGGGAAGAGAGAGAGAGGAATGTTTGCTGCGGATGGATGCAGTCAACT